AATAAAATAGAAGCTAAAATCCATCCTGAAAGTATTTGTTTTGTTTTGAATTTTGTTGCAAATATATTTACTGCTCGTAGTTTATACAAGAAAAAAATTTGCTTTGCTTTGCTAAAATGTAGAAAAATATAAACTTTGAATTAAATAAAAAAAGGAATGTAATGTTTTAGCAAACTTAGGCAGACCCTGCTAACTTTCGTGTATACTTTAAATTGTACATTTTTATAACATTTCAAAGAGTACTGGGTGAAACTCCTTAAAATATCAATTTCTGCATATTAATCATTTCTTAAATTTATAAAAGTAACCTTTTGTATAAAACTTTATCCTGCAGAAGTTGTAATTATAAGGCTTATATATATATATATATATATAATCTCCTTCCATCCCAAATCAAGGGAATAGTCACTAAGATGCAAAGTGGTTACTGAGTGAAAGAATATGGGAAAAAGAAAATAATTATTATGGAGATAGAACAATAAAAGAACAGGAATTAAGAAGATATTAAATAATGATTGAAATTCCATTTAAATTTTTGAAGATCAAAGTTGACTGGAAAGTAATAAGTGACAAGTGTAAGAGGAAAAACTTTCAGCTTAGAACTTATGGTAAAACAATTTCAAAAATCTGGCTAAATGACAAAACACCAGTTTAATTTATTTTGTGGAGAAGCGCTAGAGTTCCTTAGCAATATTTCTTGGAAACTTCAGAATAAATGAACAAAGTCAAAAGTATAAACAAATAATATATGTCTATTTGACTTTGATTGAAGCAAGTTCTTTATAATTTGGTTTGGTGAAAGTTCATTCAATTGGGTAATTAATAGTTTACGAGTTAGACTTTGGTAGTAGTCAGGAGTATGTTTACTTTGGAAACACCAAATGCTTTGTTTTCTTGGCCTTTATGAAGGGCAGAAAAATGTCTTAAGCAGATGACCGCTTAGTTTCATTAACTTGTCTAGTTTCTCTGGCTTATTCTTCTCTACTGCTGTCTGTTGACTATCTCTTTATATACATTTAAGAAAAGCTCCAGATTACTTGACATGAAGCATGGTTTTGGCTAACATCAAAATTCTCTTTTTTTTTTTTTCTTTTGTTTAGCCAAAATTCTTTTATTTATTTTCCAGCATTCCTTTTTCTTTTCTTTTTTTATAGAGAAAGTTATACATGGTGCCTCTCTTGTTTTGGTAGATTTCTAGCCACAATAAGTAGGCCATAAACCAGTGAACTTCCATTTCACAGCAGTTATTTAGTCCTTTCTCCTCCCTTTGTTTATTTGAGGGTTGACTTCTTGTTATTTGAGAGAGAATCCTAGAGAAGGGTAGAAAGAGAGAGAAAAAGAGGTATGGATTTTAAAGGAAAGCAAATGCCTTATTTTAATTCTTTTTTTTAATATTTTCATATTTTAATTTTTATATTTGGGCTTACCACAATTTATTTATTTTAGGGCTTCTTGATCTGATTGAGAACTTTTCTGCACTTCCCTCTAAAAAACAGAAGTAATAACAATTTGGAACACGACTTTGACTTGAGGCAAATACCGTTTAAATTTTTATTTATGCTATATTCCTAAAAAGAATTAAGATACAATTTTTTTCATCAGTCTTATGCAAAAGTACAAAACATTGTTAACCATTATTCATTTAGAAGAAAAAATAGTGAGTAAGCAGTTACTGATGCATATCTAACAATATCTATCAAAACATTGAAAGAATATTTCTGAAAATAACTCAAGATAAGCATACAGCTATTCATTTGAAGTTATCCAAAGAAATATATACCCATAAATTAAAAAACTTTTAATGTATTGAGTGCTGGTTTCATGAATCATACAAGACAAGAATAGTGTTTTAATTTATGAAAAGGATAGCTTATCTTGTTTATAAACAGTAAAAAGGAAGGAAACAAGTTCCTGGTCAGTACTTATCAGAGGAAAAAAAGGGCAGGAGTAGACAAGAAAATACAACACACACACAATTTTTATTTGTGAGTATCTGTAAATTGTCTGAAATTAATTGAAATCATATTTAATGAAAAATTGTCAATTATTAATATTTTTATGAGTATTTCTTTAATCTTATGTCTTTTGCCTTTTACTGCAACTCTTAGACCATCATTCTAAAATTTTTATTAAGCAACATTGAAAATAAAGATTGAAACTTTCATCCCTTTTCCTTGAGAAATATGGAAGTTAACTGATTGCATGTTTTTGTGTATTTTAGGTGAAGGTGCATGTGAAATATGTATACAAAGAAGATAGAAGCATATAAAAACTTGAGTTTTTGCTATGGACGTTTATTCTTTTTATGGTGACTAGTGAAACAAAGTTCTCAATGTCTCTTGAGTATGTCCGTTTTCTTTTTCAGTTCAGAAGTAAGTTAGGATAACAATGGTTAAAATGGTTGAGTTCAAGTCAGTTTTGTGCTGAGATGGAACAACCAATTCACTTACTTCATGAGTAGGGCTGCCAAAACATGTCCAGACAATGTCATTGGAAAATGGAAAAAGGAAGATTCTGTTCTTTCCAGAAGTGGAGTCATATAATCACATATGTGACCAAAAAACCCTCTCCAGTTTCTTTATAATATCACGAGAAAATTAATTTATTTTTTCTTTTTATTTATTATTATTATTTTATTTATTGGTTATATTTCATTTTCACACATGCTTGTCCAGGGCAGCTGAAGACCAATCATTAGCAGAAGCTCAAATCTAACCATATAGCTTTCATTATATTAGGTATTCTGGGGAAAATAATAGCTGAAAGCTGTAATTTTAGGTTTCAGCTTTTAGTACTGGTTGATCTTTGTGGCTTAGTTGGTAAAGTAACTGCTTTAGAAAAGTGAACTTCCTAAGAAAAAAAGAACTTTGTACAAATCTCACTGAATATTATAACTTCTATTTGTAAGGTTATTGTTATAACACACACTTGTACTTAGTATAACATAATTTGTTAAAGTATTTTCTATATGTAATTCTTAGGCTATTGCCATACAACTGTATAGTTAGTATGAAGACTGACTCTAATACAACTACCACTAATCTCATAACATGGAACATTGTAGTATTGGATGAGTTTGTAGAGTTACCTGGGGTGTAATCTTTAGTTTACAACATCACCCTTTTGAGATTACTAATTTATTAAATAAATATATTTTTTATTTTTATTTTAAATTAATATCTCCCCACTCCTGGAGAGTTCACCAGTGTACTTTGTAGCTGTTATATAGGAATAATGTGTTGCTGTCGACACTTGAATTTGAACATATATCACCAGTGAGTAAATACAGGTGATTCCATTATTGAATTAAGTAGACCACATATATGTAGGAAGTAGCTGATGTCTAAACGATTGTTATTTCTAGTCTATCCCCTGTACTATATGGATCACTATTTCTACTCTATACTCTATTATTATACGGACTGCTATTCTTTACTTTATTTACTATTCTTCTATTTGGATCACTATATGATTACTGTTTGAGTGAGTATTATCGAGCAAGTACTATTAGTTTGAGTGATATTTGAAGGCGTCTGACATCAGTATTGTTCAATGGCGTACTATAGTTGTATCTGCGATTATAAAGTCTCTACTACAACAAGCATTACAAAAGTGACAATGAGTATTCGTTGATATTACAAAAGTGGCAACAAGTGTTTGTTGACATCGTAAAAGTAGCATTTTCTTCTCAGATCCACTTCTAGTTCTTCTGTACATTTTCTTTTCCTTGTTTGTTGTTGTTGTTTTTTACAATTGTGGCAAGTCTTGTTGTTGCTTCTGTTGTTGTTGAATTTCAACTACTGAAGCCAAAATTTTCTCCATATCTGCAAGTAATTTTTTTTAAACCAACATGGTTGAAATTCTTGTATCTCCTGTTGCACACATATGAGTTTCGAAAATCTGGTTGCCCACTATTATAACTCCAGTTATAATGTGGTGCTTGTTATACCATGCTTGACTTCAAGCTCTTTGTCATCAACTATTATAACTCCAGTTATATTGTAGTGATTTTATCCCGCACTTGTGTTTGAGTATCCTCATCGCCAACTATTATAATTCCCTATTGTAAGGTTATTGTTATAACACACACTCGTACTTGGTATAACATAATTTGTTAAAGTATTCTCTGTATATAATGCTTAGGCTATTGGCGTATGCCTGTATAATTAATATGAAGAGTGACTTCAATATGACTACCACTAACCTCATAACATGGAATTTGTTATAGTATTGGACGAGTTCATAGTCATTGGGGGTGTACTCTTTATTCCACAACAGATTATTCATTATTTCTGATCGGCTATCGTTGAAAAATTGTAGAATAACATTCTGAGAGTTGTGTTATAAAGCAACAGAAGATGAAAGAAGTACCAGTCAAATAATAAAGAATTCAAACTATTTTCCAAATAAGAAATACAAAAATTCTGCTTCTGTTTTTACTCTTCTCTTTTTTTTTTCTGTTGTTAAAAAATTAATCTGATTGCAAATGTTTCCAGAAAGTGAGGACAAAACGAATTTTTGCCCTGTTTTATTCTAAGTAAAATGGAATGTAGAAAAGTGAAAAAAAAATGTATGATATATTTTTTTATAAATTCAGGGATGTACTGTTGCACACACACACACACACACACACACACACACAAAAGGTGGTGCTGAAATATACATATAAAATTAACACTTTTTTATTTATAGATATTAAAGTACCTTTGCTCACATTGTGATGTAGGGCAGAGTTGATTGATTTGCTTTCTATGGCTTATCGACTCTTTGCAAGTTATTTAAAGTCAGAAGATATTTTTAGATTGTAAGAATTTTTTTGAGATAATGATTTAGTGATACAAATCTTACAAATTAACTCATAGTTGGGGAGACAAGAGGTCGATTCATACCTTTCTCAAATGTATTTGCACGTAAGTGAATATAACAAACCCAATTGGAAATTGGCTCTCTAATTAACAATTCCAAGCAATTATCAATTATACCATCCACACATCCAACCT